ATTATTATTATTATTATTATTATTATTATTATTATTATTATTATTATTATTATTATTATTATTACGTTATTATAGCATTATTATTATAGCATTATTATTATTATCTTGGATTATTGAACATGCATCAGGATAAGCTCTTGGTGAGTTCAAGAAATTGAAAACTCTGTTGTCATGGGGTTTTATTTGCCTTTTTCTTCTTCTTTTTCTTCTGTCTTATCTGTATCTTGACACATGTAGGGAAAGCAAAACACCTTTTCAAACTTTGATCCAAGGACTCTTCTTCCTCGTTCTCTGGATTTCTGGACCTATGAAGGATCTTTGACCACTCCACCCCTCTTGGAGAGTGTCACCTGGATCGTTCTCAGGGAGCCAATAAGTGTGAGCCCTGCACAGGTGGGTATCTTATTACACAAACAAATTGACCTGCAAGAAAGCAAAAATAGCCACTAAAATTAAATGTGGATGTTAAAAATGATATTAGTGCTACTAATAAAAACTAATTTTTTGCTAATCAGGCCTTAACAATCTGTTCTTCTTTACTGTTTTTGTCCTTTTGCTTAGATGGCCAAGTTCCGCAACCTCCTCTTCACTGGAGAAGGAGAACCTGCATGTTGCATGGCGGACAATTTCCGTCCTCCGCAGCCCCTTAAAGGTCGTCATGTCCTCGCCTCCTTCAGATAAACGCTGGTGTTTTGTTGTATATGCAACATTTTCTTCCCAGGATGTTTGTCTCCCAGTTATCATGTAGAACAGCTTCAAGCAATGAGACCAAATTCTTATTTTCTTCCACACTTTGTCATTTAAATCATATCAAGCTATCTAATTCACACAATAGCTTAAAAATAGCTTTAAAAGTGTATTTTCAATTACTAAAACTAGAAAATCATGTTTCCAAAGTAAAAGTTGTATTTATTAGAATGAACATAGATGAACAGATTCAGTGTTTTTGCATTTGTAGAAAGGTATTTCTGGATATTTGGATTATTTTTGCTTGAAAATAAAGCATTTCTAAAGTTCTTGACGTGCATCTATTTTGTGAACAATGCTGCCGAATAAATTATTTTTTACCGATGTGTCATTTTGAGACAGGGAAGCGGTTTGATTGCAAGATTGTTAATTAACGACTCTCAGAATTTTAATGAATATTTAGGGCTGGGAGCGGTGATATGTGTGTGTGTGGAACTGTGTGTGTGTGTGACAAACCTGTGTGCGTGCGTGTGTGTGTGTGTGTGTGGGGGGGGGGGGTGTTAAAGCCACACAGAAGAACAAACAAAACAAGCGGCATGCCAATGTCCCCCATCTCTGAGGGATTTGAATAGTAAATGTTCTTAGTTTTCGAGATGAATGTCTTTCTGGACTAGAACTGAACAGGGAATGTCAATAAATCTCAATGTTTTGGAGCAAGATATTCTAATGACTAGAGGTTACACTGTGGAGAAGAAAAGAAGTAATTTTATTTATTTTAATTTAATATTTTTCCTGTGTCAGGCAACACATGGATCCTGGCAAGTGGAGGGATTTTTTTTTTATCCACCATCAGGAGCAATGACAAAGCCAAGGGGCGTCCATCATAGATTAATCTTAGACGGACTCAATTACATTTACTCTAATCATACACCAAAGTTCATGCTCAATAATCCAGATATAAAATCCAACAATGTTCAGTCAAGTCATCTGGACGGTTTCTTTTTGAAGCTGAGACATTTCATCCTTCATTCAAATTACTACTTGGATCTGAGGAGCCGCCAAACAAAACTGATTCCCACAACAACAGCATACTCCATAGTGAGAAAACAACAGTTTGCTGGTGCTAAGATAGCCTCCAGGGCCTGCCCTCTCCCCCATCAACTCCACTGAGACAGTCATGCCAAAGTGTTTTTTTTTTTTTTTTTTTTTTTTTTTTTTTTTTTTTTT